CCCCCAAAGGCGGCGTCCCCTTTGGCGGCTCCCGCGAGGCCCCGCGCACGCCAGCGCTCGTGCGCGCGGCTCCGCTGCCGCGCAGCTGCCGTGTGTGCTGGCCGCGCGCCAGCGCTGGCAGATGGCGCGGGGCTATTAGACGTGCTCCATTCCATTCCCCGGCCCGGCTCCCGCTATTTAATCAAATTAGAGGAAAAGTCAATTTGCCGGATCCGTATTCTTCGTGCCGCCGCTCGCCCCGGCCGCGGGCGCCCCGCTCTGCTTGGCCGCGGGGCCCGCGTGAGCCCCGACGGGCAGCACCGAGGGGCAAACGCTTTTCATTTTATTTGTCCAGTGTGGGGCAGCTTTCTGCATCTATCAGGGTTTTCCCTTCCCCCTTTCCATCTCTCTTTCTTGTTTTTTTTTTTCCCCTTTTTTCCCCTTTTTTCATCCCCTTCCTCCCTAACCAGCTCCGCGGGACAAACACGGGGCACTGGGAGAGGAAGATGCTCTCTGGGTCGCAGTGGGTCCTGGCTGCTCTCACAACCCAAAGAAATTCAGGCGGGAAAAAGCCTTTTTTCCACTTTTCTTTGTTTATTTTTCATCCTTTTTTCCTTAATGATGCAATAAAAAGGCAGAAATCCTCCAGTTTTGCCCCTCCTGGCCGGCTCGGGCAAGAGGCGCCCGCGGGGATGTCGGGAAGGGGAAACTCGGGGCGAGTTTCTCTTCCCAGGTGCGACGTCTGCGCCGGGCAGCGCGGCCGGGCGCCAGCCTCAGCTTTCGCGGGTTTTTAACCAAAAAAGACTGCCCGGTTTCGGGATGAGTCGGCAGTGATGCAAAGAGGCCCTGCCAGAGGCTCTCACGTAGTCTCGGGCGGTATTTCGGTTTCTTTACGCATCGGATTTCTGCTTAAAACACGGGTGTTTTCACGCAGCCTTCGGTAAAGGCTTTCTAGGATGGGTTTAGTTACTTAAAAAAGAGAGAAAAAAAAACGCTGTTTTTTTTTTTTTGTGCTTTAATGACACACCTGGGTGGCGCCACACAGCAGAGTTGGATGGGAAGCTCCGCAAGCGAAGTGGAGCGCATCCCATCGGAGCAGCAGGGCCCCCTCTCCTTTTGGGCTGTGCCCAGTTGTGGGTTTTGCTTCCTTGGCTCCAGAGGGTCTCCCGGGACAGGGGTTGAAGCCCGGGGTCTAAAAAGCTCTGGCCGTGATGGAGGTGTTTCCCTCCTGCCTCCGTTTCCCCTGCAGCTCCCGAGCGGAGGGAAGCTGATCCCTGCGGAGGGTTTGGGAGCTGGAGCCCGTGGACGCTGCCGGCTTCGCGTCCAGAAATAATCACTGTTGTGGTTACCCATCAAAAGTCACAACCGCAGAAAAAGGAACCGGAGCGGCGAGCTGAAACTGCTGCCGCTGCCGGTGCAGGGCCGTGGGGCAGAGCCCTTGCGGGAGGGCGGGGGGACGTCTCGGCTTTAAGTCCCCTTCCCGCTGCCCTTGCTCCCCGCTGGTTCCCGGTGAAGGCCCTCGCCCCTCGCGACGGGCCGGGGCGCCGTGAGTGACGGAATGGGCGGAGAGGGGCCGAGGGTTTTGTGCCAGGGTCGGGCCTTGCTCCTGGGCCCTCCCTTGGGCTCAGCCGCGTCGTTTCCTGCCCTCGCTGGGCTCCGTTGGCGGCCGCGGCCCAAAGGAGAGGCCGGACGGGGTCCCTGTGCAGCCCAGCGCCTTCCTCAGCGTCTCCCCTGCCCTCCAGGTGTATCCAGCCAACTCAGGTGACGACTTCAGCAGGGATCCCGCTGGATATACTCCCTCGAAACCTCCCAGCACTGTGTATCCCGGAGCCTTCTACATGGCAGGTGAGGCTGTCGCACCAGGAGGCCCCAGGGCCACGAGCTCCGCGGGTGCCGGCCAAGGGCCGGGCTCTCCCGGCGGGGCAC